TTCCAAACAAGCCACACTTGTCCAGTCTCTTTCTAACTGTGCTGTCATTAACTTTAATGTTTAGCATGCTAACTGAGGCCTGTAGAGCCTGATATGTAGCTCCTGAGCTTTTTGCTTTTTCTGAGTGTTGCGCAGTCTGACCTTGAGATGAATTTTCTGGGACATCTATTCCTGGTGGCTGTCTTGAATGTCTTTTTTCTTGTGAATAATGTTTCTCACTGAAGAATGAATGATGTCTTCCCTCCTTGGTGTTGGGTTAAGACACACCTGAATGCTCCAGACCAGCAAACTGTTAAAACTACTTCTACTTAATTCTATTAAGCAAAACTAAGGGTTACTTCGTTTTTCACACACTGTTTCTTCATTCGGGTTATTTTGGGTAATTTCTGTTAAATAAATAATGAAACACTGTTGTTGCTATCTGATTTTATCTAACTTTAAGACTTGGAAAGGAACAAATGATTTCTTTATGTCCTGATATGTAAAACCTTAAAATTATAACTAAAAGAGGGTGCTCCAAACAGCAGAGGTAATAGCACAGTTCTCCTGTGCTTGCCCAGCTAACCCTTTGTTCCCCCAAAATCATTTATTAAGTCATGATGGCTCTTTTTAGTTTTATTTCTTTACATGAAAGCAGAATATTGGGTCTAAATTCTTTCCTATTGGTCTTTTGACCTGCTGGAAGGCACAGGCATGGGTCAGATAACAAGCTTTGCTGATCAGGCACTTCCTGGTACAGTATCGCTGGCCTTGGCCTGTTAAAGTGTCCCTAGAAAGGAAATCAGCCAATCTTCATGATGAGCAGCGTCAACAGACAGGAAATAGAGGAAGTTGAATGAGTTGAAAGTCGGCAGTATTTTTCGTGCCACTAAACCACCAAGTCATCAAAATCTCACTACGTGGTGACAGTGATTTACTGCTGACGGGTACCAGGAGATTAGAAATACTGAGGTCATGAATCAAAGTCAACCAACAACCTGCATTTGAGTCGTGCAGACGTTTTTGAGGGGTTTTTTGTTTAGCTTCCGTAAAATTCCAAACCACTCTATTATATCCAGACATAAAGGTATAAATCCTGTTTGAAAGCCTCCGTCACACAGCCAGGGACATTATCTGATATAGAAATTCTGAATATTTTAGAATTTCTTTTTGGCATAAGAGGATGAACTTCAGATCAATCAAAAAAATAAAAGTTTTTAGGCCGATTATGCATCCCCCCCCTCGCTAAATGATCCGTATCGCCTCAGAGCTGTGGAGGCTCGATCTGAGCATAAGCGGTCTGGAGCCGAGAGGAAAATCATATATAATCCCACGGGGCCCAAATATGTTTGGATTCCCTTGATGATGCAGATGAGTTCTGGTGTGCATTTCCACTGAGCTGTAGAGGAAATGCAGCAGCACCACCCCCACACTGTTTTTTTTAATTTAAGCCAGAAAAAAGAAATAAGACAGATTTACTTAGGTGAAATGTCCAGTAGGTAAACTGCTTGATTTATACATTCATTCTTTTATCTGGTGCTTAATTACAACTTTTGTCTTATTTTAGTCGTAAGACTAAGAGCAAAGGGTTCAGACATTTTTCATAGTGCATGTTATTTAACAGAATTCAGGGTCATTATGCTCAGCTACATACTGAACTTAGAGGATAAAAATAAAGCAGCGATCCTGTTGCAATAGTATCGATCGGATACCAATACCAGCATTGTTATCGATAGTTAGATTGATCCAGCCCAGCACTGGTGCAAACTCAGTTCAGCTTTGGTGTCATCAGTGTCAAGATGCCAGGTTGGTCCCAGGTTGGTGGTAAAGGGGTTACAAGTGAGCTGGGAACATAAGTAACGCTAAAAAATATATCTTTCCATTTCTCACTAGAACCAGAAGAAAAGTCGCTCCATCAGGCGATGGCATACTGATGTCGTAAAGGGATGTGACAATCCGTTAAAGCAGCAGTTTAATGGAACTGTTGTGCAAACTTACTGTAAAGCATCCTGGACACACCCTGGTGTATTCACTTCCTGTACAATACAAGCAATGTTCTTACTGAGCATAAACTGGTGCATTTAACCCAATATATATTCTGCTTTTCAAATGTAACTTTCTGATACTAAGCTATTTGGATTTTTCACACATATTGAGGAGTACATGGCCAAAAATACAAACATTGATACTAAGCACAAAGACTCACGGGACTGTAAACATTTAGCTTCTAATCTGTAATCATGTTGTGGTTATTACTTCAGTTCTGCTGTGTTTAGATTTTAATTGTTGTGGATGTGTGATGAGGTTTCGAGTGTGCATGTGGTTACAATTTGGCCACCATGACCGACGCTTCAGTAGAGATCAATGAGTCGCTGCACTGATCGCTCAGGGCTGGTACCAGAGTTCTATCTGGATGCAGCGTTTTCAGTGGGAGAAACATCCAAGTGACTTCTTCAGTCTCAGCCGACTGCAGGTTTTCCCAACCAATAAATTTGCATAATTGCTGAAAGTAGCACCACTGGTGGGCTGAGAGGTCAGTTTCTTGATCATTAATATGCAAATTGTTATGACCCTTGATTAACAACCATTGATCACTGACAATTGATCAACGGCCATGAATACCATTCACAGAGTTGGGGAATGCTTCTTTTAACATTTTAAATACTGACAAAAAAGCAATTTATGGAGACATTATTTTATTGTTTTTTAGCTTTTTTTAAAAATAAAGGGCATTTAGGGCAGCACGGTGGTTAGCACTGTCAGGCCGGGGTCTTTCTTTGTGGAGTTTGCATGTTCTCCCCGTGTTTGCGTGGGTTCTCTCCGGGTACTCCGGCTTCCTCCCACCGTCCAGAGACATGCAACTTGTGGGGATAGGTTAATTGGATAATCCAAATTGCCACTAGGTGTGAATGGTTGTCTGTCCCTATGTGCTGGCCCTGCGACAGACTGGCGACCTGTCCAGGGTGTACCCTGCCTCTCACCCTATGACAGCTGGGATAGGCTCCAGCGCCCCCCGCGATCCTGAAAAGGATAAGCGAATGGATGGATAAAGGGCATTTAACTTAAAATTAAAGAAAACTCCTAATCAACTCTAACTTGTCCTTCTCAAATAGATTTTTAATTTAACTAAAGCCAGCTTATCAAATTTTGCAGTCTGAGTTTTAAGGCTTGTCAGACAACCTGCTCATCGGCTACTAAAATATCACAAATACAAAAAAGGATATTTCTACTTTGCAACAACAAATTATTTATCTTCTGTCACCACAATATAAAGGTAAAGAACAAAAGCACAGTGGAGTCCTCACGGTGACTGAGGTGTGAAGGAAAACATGCAATTTTCAGTCTTTATGAGTTTTACTTCTGCTGAGCTAACAGAATGAGTAACTGACTTCCAGTGTAATCAGCACATCACTCGCAGTTCTTTTTATTTCTTTTGCTGCCGGTGAGCCGGACATTTGTCAGTCATTTTCCACAGAAGCGCAGAGTGAACAGACCTCCTTTGGTTTCGGTCAGATTGCTGCATCAGCTGAAAAGTTTGCAGACTGTGGTTAAATCCTGCTGATTTTTTCAAAGAACCAAACCGCCAAAATGGGAATTAATATTTCATGGGAAAGCTTTCAGTTTCATTTTAATTCAGTGGTATTTCCCGTTTACAATGCCCAATAATGTTAAACAGCAGTGGTGACGGGTGGGAGAGCATCCTATGTGTCATTTGTATTGTAAGAAAAACAAATTACATAAAACACAAAGCAAAATATATTAAAAATAACACTCGATGATAATACTACATTTCAGAGTTCATGATGATAATAATATCAGGACCCTTGTGTCTTTTTACAAAATAAGCTTCAGGATGGGAAACATCCGTCTGTCCAAAAGCAACAATTATATTAATATCATATTATTAAAAAGCTTCATTATACAGTTCAGTAATACTGCTTCATCAGTTATAATGTGCAAGAAATAAAATGTTCAGAGAGAAGATTGTGCCGAGCAGCTGTGTGTTTGTGCTATTTCAAATGAAACCCCCCCGATCTTATCATCAGTCAGGCTGAACACACAAAGGAATAGGAACACACACACAAAAGCTATTTTTGGTTTTTAAGCCAGTAAATAAAAGCAAGTAAATCAAATAACTTTGGAGTTATTTAAATGTTTTCTTTCCTGTTTTGATAAAGCTACGCTAGCCTTTTCCCTCTGCTTCCAGTATTTGTGCTAAGCTAGGCTAAACATGTCCAACAAATGGAGGTGATCCACCTTCAGATCCGAGTCTGGATAAGACGGAGTCTTAGAAGATGAACCAGAACATAATATTGAATTAGGAGTATTGGAGCTCCCGTGGACCCTCTGCAGCGCCCAATGCTGTGCAAATCCAGTCTGTGTGTGCAACATCTACAACCCCCGTCCCAACCCCCCCAAAAAGAAAAAAAATATATATATAAAATTAAAAACATTTAAAAAGAATATACAATGCATGGTTAGATACTTTACAAGAAGGAGAAGTTGTGCCAAAAAAAAAAGAAAAAAAGTCTCAGGATTTTGGCTTCGTACAAGGTC